TGCTCACATTCTTTTTCTCCTTCCTGCATGGAGCACTGGTGTTGCCTGTTTTCTGGATCATAAAGCAATCTAGGATGCGGTTGACTCATTGCTGAGATTAATAGAAAGATTCAGCGATCTGCTGAGGGTTACATGGCTGGTAGGGGGCAGAGCCAGGATAAGCAGTTTGATATCCTGATTCTGAAAACAATGACTATCTACCACATTCCACCCTTAAGTTTTTCTTTCTTTGTATGGAAGCATGACCAAAATATCATGAAGGCACAATGAAGACCTACCTGCATTGATCTGAAGTTCATAGCTCAACTATTTTTTTACCTAAATAAACATTCATGTGACACTTCATCAATCAAGATATAGAGCATTTTTGGTACCCCATAAAGTTCCTCTGTGCCCCCAACAACCAACCTGGTTTCTACTATCATCCATTAATTTTGCCTGTTCTTCAACTTCATAAAAATGGAATCGTGCAGTATGCACTTTTCCCTTTACTTAACATCTGTGCGGTTCATTTTTGTACTGTGTGCTGTTTGTTCTTTTTTTTTTTTTTAATTGTTGTGCACCCTTTCTCCCTTTTCCTTGAATCTATCCCTCCCTCTTAGATGGGTTACTGGCTCTAATTTAGGGAAGAAATTCTATGCCTGCAGGTAGATAAACAAATCCACCTGTCCCAAAACTCTGGTCTACATTTCTAGGCTGAAGCGAGGGTCTCTGCACAATGAGAAGGGGACAAACTCACTAATAAGAAACAATACAACATGCCAAACAATACAAACCCAGATATGACTGAGTCAGAGTGTGGGCTCGGAGTCATCTGGCGCCCACTGCCCCACCTTTAGGAAAAATGAAGATGGCTATATCTAGTGAAAAGAAGCCACTGACCTGAGACCTTGGATAAGCTATTCATTGTCTCTGGGCTTCAGTTTCCTCACTGAAAAAATGATGGGGTTAGGTGGAGTACTGAGGCTCCCCTCCACCCCCCAGAAACAAAAAGAGTGCAGAAAGTCAATACTCACTTATTTCACACTGTTCTCCCTCTAGTCCTGGAGGGCAAATACACTTTCCAGGGTAGAAACAGGTCCCTCCATTAAAGCATGTGGTGGAGCAGTTTGCTATTAGAATGGATAACATGGGTAATTGTATTAGAGAGTAGGTTAAACCTTAAAAAAAAAAAAAAAACCCAACTTCACTTAAAGTGAGGTGATATTTCTGAGACATCTGCCTCCTGCCCATTTACTTAGTCAAGTAAGCCACTTTGCAAATGCAAAAATTGTAACCAATTGCTTGATCATTGACAGATTCCAACAACATAATAGAATAGCACATACATTATATACTATTCTCCCCCTGGGGGCTTCTATTTTAGAGAAAAAAAAAGGCAAGATGTATAAAAAAAAGTTATGTTTTTATTTTCTTGTAAATATGCCCTTAAAAAGGGAACACTATAAACACCCTAAAATATTTTTTGACGTTAAAAGAAGAGTAAAAAGGAGAAGACTTATTTTAGAATAGATAAAAGGGAGAAAGGCCATAAATACTAGGAGTTGGCAAAGGAGAAAGCAACTTTTTTTTTTTTTCCAGAACGAGAACAGATATTCATCTTATGTAATAGGGATTTTAAAAAATAGACTTTTATGACATTTGGAGGAAGGAGTCCCGGTGTTCGGGAAAGGACAGACTGTCAATCCTCCTCAGATCCCACAGGAAGGAAAGTGTGCAGCAGCTACTTGGACAGATTATTGTGGGGGTCCAATTAACTAGATTTTCCAGGTAATAATCATACTGTTTGTGATTCCTCCTAAACCCTGTCTTTGTGTCGACTTCTGGAATTTCACTGCTCACACCTAAAATAAAGGGAGGACAAAAATGGGGATGAGGGTGGAGCAAGTATCTAAAAATAGACGAGTTGGCTCCTTCTAGAAAGGAGATGAAAATGAGAGCTTGGATTCTCAGCAATTCCAGTTATAGGGCTTATTTGTTCTTGTCCTATATAAAATGGGCCAAAGTTGGCTGCAGATGAACATATGCTGAAGTAAGCTTCCAGTAGGAAAATCAGAGAGGAGATCCAAAATTTATATGTATGCTTTCTTTGTGGAAAAGCAGTCCAACCTGCATGTCCTGCAACTATCGTGCTTCTTATATGATAGAGCTTTTTGTTTAAACCACAAGGATCTGCCCTCTTAAGGCAATGCTGTACTTGTTTTGGCAAACACAGCCTCCCAATGCAGAAGAGAACAGCAGCATTTGGGTATAAAATTTAGGATTTAGGAGAACCAGCTCTTTGGGCTTCCTCCTTGCTAACTGCTCCTAGTATTGTTACGGCAGGACCGTTGTTTTTGCAAGTGTGATTCTGTCTCCCCACCTGTCTCTGTGTCTCCTGGGGAATGAAGAAGAGACAAGAAAACATCAGGATCAGGGTCTGCTTGGCCAGAGCCCTCTGGGCACTACCCCTTCTAATGAATAGAATGGGATGAACCTGGGAGCTGAACTGGAAGTCTCAGGATGATGACAAAGCTAGTTAAAGAATGTGGCCATACTCTTCGTATTTGTACAATTCTTTACAAGCTTCTCTACATTTCTGTTGTGCAATGATTCTGGACTAGGAAAATGCACAGAGGCACCAGGTAACTTTCACTGGGGCTGAGGGCATGCTGGGCCAAGGCTTAACTTTTCATTTCCTGAAGCTGGCAACAGAAGTCCCAAGAGCCACCAAAAGTTCATCTTTAATGTTGCTTCAAATATGTTATGCTCAGCTCTAGTTCTGTGCCAGTAATTAAACTATTTTTCAGAAGCTCTATACTCCCTCCTGGATGATAAATGCATCTTTTTGTTGAGGTAGTAAAAGCCATTATTTTTTAATATTCCCAGATCTCCAATGAGACCAAGTGGAATTTCAACAGACTTTCCAAAAGAATAATAATAAAAAGTTACTAGAGTCTAAGAAGTAGGGAAAAGCTTTCATCCGAAATGTAAAATATTACAAAGTGTAAAACATACTGGAATCCACATATTTTCCTTCAACAGTGACCACACAGTGTTTGTGACTCCATAGCATTAGAAAAACATTGCAGCTGGCACTCCATTGTTCAGACGACACCAAAGACAGTCACATCTCATAAGCAGCGCTCGCAAACAGTCTCTTTAAACCTCTTCATACCTGAGTTCTTCATCCAAAACCTCTGAGGGATTTGCTGTTTCCTAACAAGTTTTGTGATAATCTGAGCTTAATACTACACTATAGAATTATATACTTAATACTTAATATACTTATACTATAAGTATATACTACTTATACTATATATACATATATACTATATATGTATACTATATATACATATAAGTAGTATATACTTACACTATATATGTATACACTTATACTATATATGTATACTATGTATACATATAAGTAGTATATACTACACTATAGAATTATATACTTAATACTTAATATACTTATACTATAAGTATATACTACTTATACTATATATACATATATAGTATAAGTATATACTACTTAGTATATACTACTTATATATAAGTATATACTACTTATATATACTATATATACTACTTATACTATATATACAGTATATACTACTATACTAATATACTATATACTTAATACTACACTATAGAATTGCCCAATTTTTGAAGAGCGGAGATGTTGAGTGTTAAATTTTGACAAATAAAAAGAAACTTTTTTACTCACTGGCTGTTCTTATCTTGTCCTTAGTGCTTAACCTTTATGAATCCAAACTTTAAGTTAAATCCAATACTCTAGTTTTACATCACTTAAAAATAAATGGTAGAGATGGTCACAAAGATTATCTCCCCAGCTTGGGGCTGGGGAGCCAGGGGCAGTGGCTTAATTCCCAATCTAGAGATCAGAGGGGCTCCTGGGTGCCTCAGGTCATGATCCCAGGGTGCCAGGATGGAGCCCTGCATTGAGCTCCCTGCTCAGCAGGGAGTCTGCTTCTCCCTCTCCCTCCACTCGTGCTCTGTCTCTCTCTCTCAAATAAATAAAAATCTTAAAAAAAAAAACAACAACTTTAGAGACAGGAAAAGTGTGACCCACGGGGAGATAAAGTCATCAGCCCAGATGCAGAGTAACTTGAGGAGGAATGGGGACCCCAACAGGTAGCCTGAATGACAACACAGTACCCCAGAGGGTGTGAGTTCGGGTCAAGCTACCAGAGTTCTGTAACTTCATTTCGCTTCTCTGAGAATGAAGCAGATACAACTTTACATATCTCAAAAGGCTGTTGAGTGCAAAATCAGATAAAGTTGTGAAGTACTTTATGTATCATGGAAGAGCAGACCCCTGTGAATTATTCTTCTGACTCATGCTGAGGGATTCTTCCGGGAGCTCTTCCTTCTTTTTAAAAAAGTGGTTCATTTCAATCTTAATTGATGTTGACTGCATGATCACTGAAGAGACACTTCTCAAAACTAACATATCTCTTCATTTCATAGCATGTATTTATTTTAAAAAACAAGGCTCTACTCATGCAATGAGAGTTTTTGACACAAGGATAATGTCAATAAATATATACACTTTGCATGATATTAATTAAGTTTTTTCCCCCATAAAAGATGTGAATCAGGCAAAACAGATTGGTATCTTGTAAAGCCTATGGACCGTTCAATATTTTAGAGCCAAGTTTGAACCCACTTTCTGAGAGCAAGCCTGGCGACAGTGCTGCGTCACAGGAAGGCGGAAAACCATCTCTCCTGGCTGTCCTCTGCGAGCAGATCATTGAATTGGCAGTCAGTCGGGAAAGGTGGAGCAGGTTGTTTCATTTCAGTCTTAGAAGCTCACCCATAAAACAGACTGAAGACATACCCAAACCCCACGTGGTGCACAAAACTCCATGCTCCCCTCCCGTCAAGTTGTCAGTGGGAGACAGCTGCCCAGTCTGCACCCGGGACAGTCACCTAGGTAGGACCATGAGACACATTCCTCTCCATGGAACAGAATAGGTGTGGAAGTTTTGGAAATCACTTCTTGGGATTTTTTTTTTTTTTAAATCAGTGTCTACTCTAATCTCCTTCTCTGCTCACTGACTGGTTCCTGAAAGTTCCAGCTCTCTAGGTGGAAGGTGCCAGGGTCCTCGAATCACAGCATGGAGGGCAGCCCCGCCCACTGTAGGGATTCCTGCACTGGAGCATTCTATGAGTACAAGCAAACTTCTAGTGTGTTGAACTACACCAAAATTTGGGGTTAAAGTTATTGTAGCAGCCAACGAAGTTTTACACCCTATTAATAGAGCTATTATGGAGAGTGATGGTATATCAAATATACTTCTTTTAACTGAACATTTATAAAGTAAAAAGAACCTTGTTCTTAGAAAGAAACTGTTACCTTTATCACAATTGACTCCATAGAACCCAGGTGGGCAGATGCAGAACCCAGGAGTGACACAAAGCCCGCCATTCATACACTGTGGTGTGCAAAGGGCTGAGAGAGAGAGCGAGAGAGAGAGAGAGAGAGAGGGCTCTGATTAAGGCCAAGTAGGGTTTTGGGGAGGGACCATTTCAGAAACATCGATAATACAATAGCTCTACATTTTTTGATCTCTGTGGTTGACTCTAAGGTCTTTAGAGATACAGGTGTGCTTTTATGCTTTTATTATTTATGAATTGTAAATGAGGTGTTTTTTTTTTTAATGAGGTGTTTTTAAACTAATTTCATAGATGAGAATTTTGGAATTATTCCATTTCAGTGGCTGATGAAAATTTGCCTAGAATCATTACTTTGATTAAGACGTGGGTTTCTTAAGATTTTAAATATTTTTCCGTGCCCTATTTCCTACATCTTTTAATTCCAAAATATAGGCAAATGAGAAAAATTCTTATGTCTTAGTTTTACTCTCATCAAATAGGCTGTTGGTATTTAAGCATCCTGTGGTTAATCCACATTTTCCTCTTAACTCTTTCATATAGTAGTAATTTCACTGAGATAGATATACTTACAATACAAATAATTTTTACCTTTTTTTTTTTTTTTGGCCTTATAGTAACTACATAACTCAGGTGTAGACTTAGTTGTGAATCAAGTTACTTTGAATTGGAGTAGCTACTGTCAAATCAATCATAATAATTAGCTTTTTAAATACAATTTAAGTGGAGGAGAAAAACTTCAAAACTTTCATAAGATTATGCCAAAGGATAGTGTATATAATAGTGAATTAGGGATGGGGGTGGGTTGTGGCCGTGAAGAATGCAGACGTTGTGCTAACATTCTCTGCCCCATCACCATATATTGGATTTAACAGAAAACCACTCTTAGAAGTACTCTCCAACTGCTCTTCTGCGGCTCTTTAAGATTTTACCAATTTTATGGTAGGACCAGCAAAATAATTTCAAAGATTATGTTAAAAAAGCTTATGTGGGGCTCTTGTGTGACATCAGTTTCATTAGGAAGCAAGGGAGGATAGCTGGCTCTCTCCGTTCTTTACCTTTCTCACAGTGAGGGCCATAGAATCCATCAGGACACTGGCAGATGCGTCTTTCATTGCAAAAGCCTCCATTTCGGCACCCTCCTGGGCATTCAGCTTCACCAAAGAGAAACATGGTTATATGGAAACCTCTGAAATTGTGTTGGGTGAATTACAGCAAGCATGAAGAGGTTAGCGGTGACCTTTACCCGCAGTGCCCTGATTATCCTAATTTACTGAATATTGGTAAGTTCTACCTATATTCTCTCTATACCTCTTGTGCTTCACTAAATCCTCAACAAAGCCAGATTTTGCATCTCTCAGTTCTACTTCCAGCAGTAGGGGGCTCACAGAAGAAGGCAAAGCAAGCTTTATTCTGCCTTCACTCCCATTCACTCCAAGTCCACTCTACTGGACTTTCTTAAATTCACACTGAAATAAATGATATGGCCCACAACGTTTACTTTCAGAGGGTGGAATGGCCTTTTGGTTCATCTTTAGAGCACTGAAGGCCTCTAGAGCTTAAATTCTGTGCTGGAAACCTTGCATCAAGATGGGGAAAAAAATCTAGGCCTTCATGCTTAAATGGGCATCAGGGTGAGATGCCTTTGCCTGGCAGACATTGTTGTTATGACGGTGGTACCCTGTTCTCTGGGGAGGTCGGCAGCACCAAGCTTGTGGTGGGGGTATGAGTGGTATTGCTTTAACAGGTGGTAGTTGCTGGTAATGCCTGGCAACTTTGCTATGAAGTTGGGGACTCCCAAAGATTGTGTTGGAGGAAGGGAAGGAGAGAGGTAGAAGAGATGGCTTTTGAAGGGGTATTGGTAGTTAAAATTGTGAGTGGTGTCATAGCAGAGAAAAGCTCTTAATACCATACTGGACTCTGCAGTAACCAGCCCCTCTACCCATTGGTGTGGTTATAATTATACCAAAAAATTATCTGTCTATTATCTATCTTTTTACCCATATCACACCTGAAAGCCTTATGAGCCTTCTCTTGATGGGGATTACTGATTACCTTGTTGACATGTTTTAAAGAAGATAGCATTTTGAGGCGTCTGCAGGATGGTGTTGCCTTCAGAATTCATTACAATCACATTCACTTCAAATGCTGCCACTCCATCTTGTTTTCCAAGACATGGGAAACCAACTTGAACAACTAAGGAAAAAGCAAGTATAGAGAAAGAGTTTATCTAGTTGATTCCAGTTGCATAGAAATCTTGGTAAGAGAGACAAAGCAAAGCAAAAATGGTCACATTGCATTATTTGATAGTCTTGTATCTCCACCAGAATAGAGACTGTATTTTGACCATATGGGTGTTTTCCACAGAACTTACATATCATGCTGGGTGGAGAAAGAATGAATAACTCATTAGTTTGTGCTCTGCTAATATCGAATCTGGGATATTTTTTTCATAGTCTGGGCTTGTACTATCTTGAAAAAAAAAAAGATTTTCTTTAAAAATTAAAGGTGCAAATAGGCAACACAGATTGATTAATTAGGAAAAGAAACCTTGTGGGTACCTTCACCAGCCTCCATACAATCCAAAAACAGCTAAAAAACAGTATTCCAGAATCTATTAAATAAAGATCTATAGACACTAGTTTATTTTTACTTTGTGTGCCTGAAAGTGACACAATATTTTCTTTGGAAATATTCTACAACTCAGACTAGACTCTAATTGTTGGAATGAGTTTGTGAAGCTAATATTTTCTCAGGCTATTTGTTAATATTAAGGAGTGTTCATATCTTGGGGATCTAGATGGGAGTTTGGTATAATAAAATAAGCTTATATCTAACGGTTTAGGTTCCTAAAAACAAGCTATTTTTATGTGTGTGTGAGTGTAATGATCACTCGGGGTATGCAGATGTTGACTTAGTGAAGAGTGACAACTAATGATGATGGTGTACTGGGAGAGCAAGGAGGCCACCAACTCTGGAATGCCCACAAGTCAGTGGGTGGAAAATGGATCAAGTCATTGGCTAAGAGATTTTTTTTTTAAAGTTTTTTTTTTTAAATTTTATTTTTTATAAAAATATAATATATTTTTATCCCCAGGGGTACAGGTCTGTGAATCGCCAGGTTTACACACTTCACAGCACTCACCATAGCACATACCCTCCCCAATGTCCATAATCCCACCCGGCTAAGAGAGAGATTATGTAAATTTATTCTTCTTCTGTTTTTTAAAGTAGGCTCCATGTTCATGTGGACCTGAGCTCAAGACCTGAGCTGAGATCAAGAGTCAAGATGCCTAGCCAACTGAGTCCTCGATTATATAAATTTCTAAAATCCACCAGATTATCATAACATATCCACTGGGGAATACTGATCTAACTTATCCAATAGGCTCTAGTTCTTTCTTATAAATAGGAAGAAATTTTGCTAATAAGTAGATATTTAAAATTTTGTTTCATTTTGTTTGTATATAGCAGGTTATTCTTACCAAGCTTGGGGAAGTCATACCAAGCCAAGAAAAATCTTTCCCTTTAGAGTTTCCATAAACCTTTCCCCTAAGCTCATAAGAAGGAATGATTTGGAAATTGGTTTGCTCTTCCATAAGGTGTTGCACGCGAGCTGGTCATGCAATATTTTCAATGTGCTTAACAACCAAAAACCCCTCTCAAAGCTTTGACATTGTCAGTGTTTATTACTGTGCCATTCTCAAAATAATATGTCTTTCCAGTTCTCCTGAATCTTGAGATCCAAGCATTGCAACTAATCAATTAAACAATAAAAAGGAAATACATTTTAACAGAAATAAAAAGAGAGAGAAAATCAAAATTGTGCCTGAAGTTTCAAAGTAAAATTGTCCCTGCTGAAAGCCTTGCTTTAATGAAATCTTAGACACAAAAATGCTAATTTCCAAAACACAAAAATCCATTGTAGGGATTTCCATTTCAAAAAGAAGCAAGAGTTGACAAATTTCTCTTCCAATGCATTTTCACTTGGTTCAGTTATAAAATTTTCAAACTATTGTTTTCCAGGTAAATCTATTTTTCTGGACCTTACTTAGCCTGGACTTCACAGTCCACTTAATTCTTTAAAAAAGGCACTTCATGGGGCGCCTGGGTGTCATAGTCGGTTGAGCATCCAACTCGTGGTTTCTGCTTAGGTCACGGTCTCAGGATTGTGGGATCGAGCCCCATGTCCGGCTCTGCACTCGGTATAAAGCCTGCTTAAGATTCTCTCCCTCCCTCTCCCTCTGCCCCACTCTTTTCCCTTTCCCTCTTTCTCTCTCCCTCTCTAAAACAAAAACAAAAACAAAAACAATTTATCAAAGCATTCACTCATATAGCATAGTTATGCCTAATTCTGTCAAATGCAAAAGAAAAGTCTTTTATATTTTTGAATGAAAAATTTTAGGCAATCTTGGCAGATAACTAAAGATGTAGCATCATTATTTTCTTAGTAAACCATAGGTAAGCTATCTCTAAGAGTTATTGTACTAATCTAAAATTATGTTCAATTCATATTAATATTCATATGAAATATTTTCCTTCTTCATCTTTTAAAGATCTAACAATCTAGGTTTAAAACTGTGCTAATTTTCCTTACATATTTATAATCACAACTTAACAAATTCAACTTCAATTAAAAATGAAAACATCACAAATTCCTCAGCCCAGGTGGAAAAGTTTTACCAACACATACCTATTTCTTTAGAAACAAGAGGTATGTCAGCATAATTATGGTCTGAATCTCAATACAGAATGATTTGAAAGGAACTAGGAAATAAAGTTTAAAAGTTAGGAGGCACATAGTTTATGAGTTCCAATGAATTAACCTTTAAAATAAAAGTAGAAATTAATAAAAGATATGTAAATAACACTAATTACATTTGCCTATTTTTCAGTTTTAAAACTTGAAATAGAAATTTTATTTTGTGTGTGTGTGTGTAAATTCTACCTGTCCTCCTTTCTGCTTATAAATTTTATTTATAAGACTATTCAAGTAATACAAATTATAATTATAGCTTTTAAAATGTTTCCAAAAAATTTGCTTAAAAAAAACCAACAAAACACCTGAGGTGCCTGGGTGGCTCAATCAGTTGAGTGCCTGACTCTTGATTTCAGCTTGGGTCATGGTCTTGGGGTTGTGAGATCAGGCCCAACACTGGATTCTTTGCTTAGCAGGGAGTTTGCTTGAGATTGTCTTTCCCTCTCCCTGTACCCCTCCCCCCTCAAATAAAAACACAACAAAACAATACAAAACAAACAAAAAAAACCACACCTGATTTTAGTTAGTAATTGACTTTTGTGCAACTTGTGCTCTACCCAAACTAGATTTCTTTCTGTTCCTCCGCATGTGGTATATGGCCGCACTGTCCTGACCGCACACCCACCCTGCGGCTTGGAATATTCTTTCTCTTCCTTTCTGTCCAGTGTCCTCCTACTCATCTTTCAAGATCAAAATGAAACATTTCTGTCACCTTCTCTGTAGTCTTCCCTAACACCCCCTGCTAAATCATTTCACTTATGTATTTCACCAATACCTCTATACATGATTTCTTATAATGATTTAATTATGATTCTGTATCCTTCGCTAAGGATGAGATTTTCAACGGCAAGGACCATACCTTGTTCTTTTTTGTAATTTCAGCACCTAGCCTATCGTCCGTCACAGACTAGGCATTGACAGACATATAGACAAACCTTGTGGGAGACACACCCACATACCCTCATACACACCGGCACACATCCCCATAAGTAGACGAGTTCCCCATAGCCGGGGGGCGGGGGGGTCGGGGGGATATGGAGAATAAGACATGAACAGTGTGCATGCCGAAAAACACACACACAAAAAGATCTCGAAGAAAAAGCACAGTCGCCCTACTTTCAGGGAATAACAGACACGTGATAGCTACGTTGTGTATAAGCATCTGAGGAGAGGGCCGCTTTCACCGAGAGCCAGATGAAATTGGTCCAGATGTTGTGAATTCCAGGACAGTCTCGATTGTATAACTGAAGCTGAGGTAAATTAAAACAACTCAGAAAAACGGAAGCAGGTAACTCACGTGGCATTCAAGTGCACACGGATGTGCAGCTGACTGCAACAAACTGACTCGTAAACAGCCAATGTATTCCTCTTCCACACTGAGAGGAGGGCCTCCAGGCACGAGAGCCACTGCCCTGAGGGACAGGACGAGAGCGAGAGCGCATGCTCGGCACCACGTGACCACAAACCGCTGTGCGACGCCCCCCGCCTCGCCACACACTCATCGGTGCCCCCAAGCTGTGGTCACCGCCATTCATTCTCTCAGCCAATACTGAGCACCCTCCCTGCTGAGGTCTGGGTTCCCTCCAGCATTAGCACCTACTGAAAAATGTCTAGACATGGAATTCCTGAAATCTTTGGTTGAGAAAGAAGCCTGCTGTCTTGGGTTCATGGTATGACAGAAGCTGTGTTCAAAGAGGTAAAGCCTTGGCTTGATGGAAACTGTTTTTTGTTATCCAGTTTTACTGAAGCAGCCTGCAGTTTGTATTTCCTGTTTTTGTTTTCTTCAGATGCCAGAAGGCAGGCCCTTTGTAACTGTTAAAGATCAAGAATGTTCTTGTTCGTGCAATGTTTAGGCATCGAGGAGTCTGGGGGGATGAAAGAACGACTTAGCAGCGTGAGGGTATAAAACAGACCAGTAGAATAATGAACACTACCTGGATGTTTAGGGCCAAAGACACACTGATTTGGTTACTTTTTAATAATTCAAGGTATCCTTACTGCTCCTACTGTGGGGACTGAGCTAATAAGACTAATGAATAACTGCCCTGCAACGAGCTAAAATTCCCATAAACTTCTTGCACCTGCATTTCTGCAAACAAATCCTACATCTGCCTTCAAAACCCTATGTTCTGGGGTAGGGGTTTTTTGGGGGGGGTCATATATGCAGAGTGTGTGTGTGTGTGTGCGTGCGCGTTGCACACGCACATGGGCAAGTCACCTCAGCCCAGAAGGCTTACTCTTTTTATTCCTACCTTGTCCAAAACATCAATCATTTCCCCCTAAATTTTATGATTTATTAAGATTCTAGATGATTAGAAATTGAAGTTTTATCTCAATACGGTGTGTTAAAATATTGGCACATCATATATTCAAAATTGGATTGTTTCAATATCTGAAGAAATAGAATTTCAGTAAGCTTTTTTTTTTTTTTTTTTTTTTACTAAAGTGAATAAGGCTGGGAAGATTTAGGTTACAAGCATTAAATTGGAAACTCAAAGATGCAAGATTTATTGGAAGTTCAGCAGGTGTAACTGTATAATTGATTTAATTATTTAATGGGCTACAATGAACTTGTTTTCCTTAAATAACCAGAAAATAGCAAGGGAAAAACTTAAGAATATAAAATGGAAATTGAGAGATCTATCATGTATTTGTTTTACTCCTGACTGCTTCTAAAAAGAGCAAAATATATGATCGAGAAAATTATCTTGGACTACAAAAAAACACTGTGTGACATGGCATGAGACTGAGTAATGGCCACACTCCAAGAATGTTCTTGTCTCCGTGATATAGCAGTATGTGATTACAGTAGCAATGCCCTCTGTGTAGAACAGTGATGCCCATGGATCTGCAAGGGGCATCCACAGCCTTGGGGCTATAAATCTCAGGTGATTTTATCTCCAGAATCCAAGGCCTCATCCTTCATAGGACCTTTCTAGAACCCCAAACCCATCAGGATTGGAAGCAAATACTCTGGAAGGGCTGCTAGTTATACCTCCAGCCCAGGGATGACCCAAGAGAAACCCAAATTCACACTCTTTCTGTCTACACCCACACGGGTACCTATGCCAAGAAACTGAAAAAACTCTGCTTATTTAGTCCCCAGCTCTTTCTGTTCTGGGATATAAAAATAAAGATCCACAGGCAGTAGTAGATGACCAAAACCTGAAAATGGACTTTACAAGACTATCTGATTTCTTAATTATTGCATAGATTTATAGGAGTGCTATAGGAGTGCATTTTCATTAGACATCAAAGTTATTCTAACATTCCTCTGGAAGAATAAGACTAATTTTTTTTTTTTTTTTTTTTTAGAAAGGACAGGGTTATGATATCAGTTATTTAAAAATTTTATAAAACTAAAAATAATATCAGAACAAATAGTAAGCTCTAAAACTCTATGTATGGAAGAACTTAATGTGAAATAAAAGGTGTATCTTGAATCAATTCAGCCTCTTACACAGGAAAAGCTGAATACTCAGGAAAATAATTCAGATGAGAGCCCTACCTCATACTATTGTCAAAATAAATTTGATAAAATGCTAGAAGCATGTTCTAGTTATCACATAATTATCACATAATTGCTCTCTGAAGAAGAATTAATTTCTAAGCATAAAAGTAGTCAGGAATGGCTTGCCTGGGTAGCTCAGTGGGTTAAGCCTGGGCCTTTGGCTCAGGTCATGATCCCAGTGTGGGATGGAGGTCCCCCTCCCCAGTCAGGCTCTCTGCTCAGCGGGGAGCCTGCTTCCTCCTCTCCCTCTGCCTACTTGTGATCTCTCTCTGTCAAATAAATACAAAATTTTTTTAAAAAGTAGTCAGGAAAAAATGACAAAGGGAAAGATAGTTTTGATCACATAGGACTTAGACTCTGCATATCCCTGCCTTCAAAAAAATAATAAACTGAAAAATATACCAGAAAGTATAAACAGTAATATAAAAAGAATAATATATAATAATATAAAATATATAATTTATTACAAGTCAATAAATTATTTTATATTTTCAATATAAAAATAAGCATGGCTAACCGACATTTTACATTATTTTTTTTATAAAGTCTTTTTTTTTTTAAAGATTTTATTTATTTGACAGAGAGAGATCACAAGTAGAGAGAGAGAGAGAGAGAGGAGGAAGCAGGCTCCCTGCCCAGCAGAGAGCCCGATGTGGGACTCGATCCCAGGACCCTGAGATCATGACCTGAGCCGAAGGCAGAGGCCCAATCCACTGAGCCACCCAGGCAGCCCCCATTTTACATTATGTAATAGATACAGAAAAATGTCTTCTACCTCGGTTGGAATAAAAAAATAAATCAAAAGAACACTAAGAAACCTCTCTCCACTTTTTAAGTCAGCAAAAGAGTTCACATGATTAAAAACCCACATTGATGATGTTATGGTGAGCTAGGCCCTCTCCCACACTGCTAGCCAGGGTACAAATGGGCACAACCTTTGTGGAAAGTAATTTGGCATTTTGGCAATTTGTTCTAAAAGCCTTTGGAAATGCTCATAGTTCATGTCCTTTGACACAATAATTGTGCTTCTAAGAATCTACTTTAATAAAATAATGAGATGAGCTCTAAGACTTTGATACAAACATTAATCCAGTAAGTATTTTATGAAGTCCTGTTCTGTGTTGGGCCCTGTGCTGGCAGTCGTGATGAATAAGACAAACAGGGCCCCCTACTCACTGACCATCTATTACTTTAAAAATGATATTTATTGTGATATTCCTAGTATGAAAACCCTAGAAACAATCCAAGTAACACACAATAAGGGAATGAGTAAACTAATTATGTGTATGTTCATAAAATGGAGAATAAGGACATCAAAAACAACTTTTGGAAAAATCTAAAATGACACTGGAAAATGCTTGTGTTAAAGTGTTAAAAGCCAAAAACAAAAACAAAAACAACTATAGTGCAAAATCAAATATATATCCTATTATCACAACTATGGAAAAATTTATATTCCTAGATGAGAAAGAAATACACATGTATTTGACCATGTTAACATAAGTGATCTCTGTACTTCTCTGAAAGTCATGAAACCTGGTCTCAGCTTCATTGCTTATTACTCATATATGACTTTGGGAAGTCAGTGAAGCCTCAGAAGGCTTAGTTTTCTAATTTGTACAATGGGGTGGTAATTCTGGCCTTGACTCCCTCCCAGAACTCAAATTGGAGAAGGCCTGAGCTGCTGTTTTACATGCTGAACATCTCTAAACAAATACCCCATACTGTGTTTTCTCAGCAGAGAAGGTAGATTAGCTCTGATATGTTTAACACATTTCTCCCACTTTTCCATTGTCTCTTTGCTCTTTCAAATTCTTATTTAATACAATACTCATTTGGGGAAAGTTTTTCTCAATGTATCCCATTTTCCCCCAATCACTTGCTTTGCATCTTTGCCACATTTATGTGCACTACATTAATTCATAATAATTATTGGCTGGATATATCTCATGTAGTGACTTTCTTTTTTTAATCTGGAATTGCTTATGAACCAGGACTATGTCAAGTCTTCAGCAAATTAGGAAACAGCCATTTTGTCACTCCCATTCTTACTTTCTGCCCAAAGGAGGTAGGGACATAATAATCGAACTGCCCTAAAATCATCGGATCTCTTCAGGAAAACATTCCATGATTCCTCTGATGGGTGACTTCCAGGTCTTGAAATTATTCCCATCACCATTACAAGTGTAGACTCCACCCCCCCCCCAAGGCAAAGACCACCCACCTGAGGCCTTGTGGGGCACTGTTCCCAGCAGAGGGACATTGATGGTTGGGTCTGCCATGATGCCTTTATCCAGGGAGCGTAAGGACAGGAATTCATAGAAGTATTCTGCCTACAACAAAAGGCATTGACAATCAGTACCATGGGGACCATGGAGTGTGAGAAGGCATTTCTTAACTGGTCACTCCTCTGATAGGAGAGTGATATTTTCACTATAGGAAATCTGAAACACATGACCTATGAAAATCTGTGTAGGCATAACTCACCCTTCTGGATTTTAGGGCTCTAGAATTAGACTCTGGAGAGAAGTGATGCTTTAAAAACATTAATGACATCTATCCAAAATATCCATAAGGCGGCTTTTTAGCTTACACAATATTATTTAGTTGCTGTCTCTTAAAAGGATTTAGGAAAAAGCTCTTAAGGAAACAAGGGGTGTCAAAACAATCAGCGCTAGTCCTTAGAAAATCCGTCTCAGCTTCTTGGGTCATTCTTTAATTCGTTTCAAATTTGAGGTGAGTCTTTTGATCAGAATTTGGAAAGCTGTAATACATAAGGGATAATGAAAACAGTAAGCTATTGGCAAAAGAAGATATGAAAGTCCAAAAATGTAATGATTTTGTTGTGAATATTTATTTTTCAGTATCCTTCCCTGTGGCACATTTACATTTAAGGTCTCAATTTAATAATGGAGAGAAAAGCCTAAAAGTATAAAAACCACCATTGCAATGTAACATCCTATAAAATTTTACATTGTAAACATTTTTCATTTTCCCACTAAGTCTAGTAGAGAAAATGGTACCTGTTACTTGAATAGCCACAAAATACTGAAAATGGTGAAGTATAATCTCCCTGGAGAGCTTTGATGCTTAAGTGATTCTCAACTGGGTCATTCAAATGATTTGTGATGGAAACATGTTCTTGCTTGGGAATAAAGAGCAATCGATAAATAGTGCAGATGCCAAAATGAGAGGTGAGCTGAGTGGCTCTGCAGTTATCTGTAGAGATATGCAGAATTTGGATGGGTTAATTAGCTAAATTATGAATTACATAAACATGGGCTAAAGTGACATTTTAAAAAAGAGTATGACCTTTCCTATAGTCAGTATCAAATTTATTTCCCAGTATGGAGGATATTAAGAGATACCTGGTAGACATTCACACCATTTTTTGGCCTTACATCATAGTGTCAATATATTAGGTATTAAGAACTCCATAGGAGGATGATAATGCAAGGGGGTGATCTCAGCTGCTGTGGGGACACTGGCTCTTTGGGCTGTGGCAGTGTTCTAGATGACCATCATGTAGGGCCCTTAGATGAGGAACAAAATGTCATCAGTTAATTTTACTAAATTCATCATTAGAAAGGCCCTGAGGATAAAGAGTTTTAAGACTGTCATTTCCTACCCTGTTTGAGGGAAGGCAGAGAATTCCAAGAAGTGTGATGAAAGAAAGGAGTGTCATCGGGAACAGTATTTCAATTTGGAATGGATTCCTTTGAAAAAGAGAACATTATTTCTGACCCTGCAATAAAGTCAACAACTATTAAAAGTGGGCTCCTTAGTGTTCCTTGAATCTGGGTGTTTTAAATGACCTCCACCAGCTGCACTTACCTCTATGCCTCACTAGATCACGTTTATCACTTAACATTTTGTTCTAAAACATATTTTAGTTGGCATTATGAAAGGCTTTAGCGTTGTATACCCTTACAATTAATAACTTTGGGTAATTTGTATTACTAAGTACAGTAATAACTAGCAAACAATAACACAACAAACACCTGTGTAATGCATACCCCATCCCAAGACTTATTTTGAACACTTGTATTAACAGTACATATAATGACGGAAAAGAGCTGAGTGAATAGAGCATAAGCATGCCGAAAATACATTTCAGTGGCTAGATTGCTTCAAATACCATAAGTTGTCATTTGCTGTTCCATAATTATATCTTCGAACTTTGTCACATTATAAGTGAAATTTATATGGATGATATACTTTAAAAGGGCATTAATAAAAAAATACCATTAAATATAAGTTAAAAATTTTTTGTGTGTTGCCACCCATATTAAAGCAATGATTGTGTAGGGCTGATGCTAACTGATTTTTCCATGTCTTTTATAGCGAAATAAATGCATTTATTTAAAAACAGATATTAATTATATACCTTGCTTCAGTTCTGTGTGGCTGATGATAATCACTGGCTCTATTTGTATAATTCTCTGGTCTGGGCATAGATGAAATATTCTTCTTGGACCTCTATTTGGTGAGACTCTGCTCACAAAACAATTTGATTTAAATCTCTTTGTCTTCTTGAAAGTGTGGTTTTTTTTTTTTTTTTTTGAAGATTTTATTTATTTAGAGAGACCTTGTGAGTGGCAGGGAGGCGCAGGAGAGAGAGAATTCGAGAAAACTCTGTGCTGAGTGCAAAGCCTGACATGGGGCTTGATCCAAGACCCTGCGATCATGACCTGAACCAAAATCAAGAGTCGGTCTCTCAATCAACTGAGCCATTTATGTGCCCCTCCTTGAAAGTGTGCTTTAAGAAAATAACTTGTACCAATAAAGTAGCTTCTGAATGTGTCTCTCAAGAACTTTTGATCATGTTCCAAGAATGTGGAACTGAAAGAATTTCACTCAGGGTCCAGAAACAATGCCATAGAGCCTCTGGGTCTCCTGTTGTTGCTTTTGACTATGGCCACATGAAGTAGGCTGGCAAGGTCAGAATCCATTATATTTGATGTTAGAGTTTGTAATTAGCATTGGCATGACTGCTTAGCATGATGCGGCTAGGTTTAATGGATTTGTCCAGACAGCCAATATTCTTATCAATAACAAATTTCACAGTAGAGGTTTTAGGGTGTGCATTTGATTTCTCTGAGATTTAGTAAATATCAGTTTTTCTACCGCAATTCTAAGACTGTATTCTAGGACAGGAACTGGTCAAAACAGTTTCCAGAGACTAGGCAATTTCCAGAAACTGCCAATAGGCAGTTTCCAGAGAAAACCTTTTTGTTCTTCTTTTTGAAGATGATAATGATGTAATTTCTGAAATTATTTCATTCTTTCCTTTATACTTGATATATATATTTTAAGGGGGTTTGTCCATCTACTGTTTTCATTGCCTTCTTAAAAATTCCAATTTGAGGGACGCCTGGGTGGCTCAGTTGGTTAAGCAGCTGCCTTCGGCTCAGGTCATGATCCCAGCGTCCTGGGATCGAGTCCCACATCGGGCTCCTTGCTCGTCAGGGAGACTGCTTCTCCCTCTGCCTCTGCCTGCCATTCTGTTGGCCTGTGCTCGCTCTCTCTCCCTCTCTCTCTCTGACAAATAAATAAATAAAATCTTAAAAAAAAAAAAAAATTCCAATTTGAAAACTACTTAGAAACTGACCAACCCTGATGAACGTTGAGGAGGGTATGTGCTGTGGTGAGCGCTGTGAATTGTGTAACACCCATCAACCAGAGACCTGTACCCCTGAAACAAATAATACACTATATGTTAATTAAAAAAAAAAAGAAATTGACCAACCCTTTATCTCCGATCTTAACACTGACCTTTCATTGTTTCATTTTGTCACTATCAACAGATCTACCAAAACCACCCATGCCATATAAATATTACTACAAACCAGTTAGATCACCATGTAGTAGAGATGACCTATGTTCTTCATTTAACCTAAGTATTAACTTTAATGGCTTAAATAAGTCCCTCAAAGTCAAAGAAAAATGGCTGATGAAATAAATGATAGATTTATAATGTCATAGTTTAAGTTCTAGACAGGACTTTCTGTTTTTAGTTTATTTGTAATATCATAAACAGTCTTAGTCTCAGACCTCTCCACTGGAAATACTTATGTAGGGGCAAATAAAACCTAAATTCTATGCCAAAGAGAACAACAAGCTTGCTTTAAAGTTTGGGAACAAACTTCACAGATCGTAGATTTATTACTTAGATAAAAGGAACTCAGAGCATGAACTGTAATAGGGAGGTGGCATATTGGAGAGTATGAAACCTCTATTAGGAAAAGTACATTTAGTTTTATCAAATGACACTAGTGGAAACTCAGGTAGAGGTAAGTAGGGTGCTTATTTGAGAAGCACATGAAAAGATTGCCTTGTATTCAAACAAAGAATGGGTCTATTCAGGAGAATAATTCACTTCTAAATTAAATTGTTGAAAAACCTTGCTGGCCTGGTTTGCCATGCAGTAAATTTTCTTTTCATGGAGAAGTATAAAAGACACCCAAATATTATCAAGAGAGGAATGAGTGCTGGAGGCCATTTAACTTGCTTCCAAGCAACTTGGCTGAATGTTAAGGTTGTTCTTTCCAGAAAAGATGAAGACACCATTTAAACAGCAAAATGGGACAACCCAGAAGGTCTTCACTCTGGCACTCTTTCTTGGGTAGACACAGAGAAAGGAAGCAGAGAACTGCATTAACCATGGGGAGGAACTGAAAGAATCCAGTATTTCTTTTCTATCTTTGAAGTTCTGGGTTTGTGGTGCTTACTTAATCTAATATATTAGCATGATAATTACAAGAGCCTCTGAGTTAAGAATCAAAGGTTCTTCATAAAACCACAGCTCTCAAACCTCTTTTAACTTCATGTATCATGATGCTGACCTAAGTGTTCATGAAGAGAACTGGAACAATAAAGGTATCTGATGTGTTCTGAAGAAAATTTCAGGTGATTCACAGATACAAAGCATACAGATGCCATAAAGCTGGAAAATTTACAAAGAATTTTTGTTGAGTGTTTACTAAACTCCGATCATTCTTCATCTAATTCTCACAAGAACCTGGTATTATAGCATGCATATTGTGTTCAGATTAGCCGGGCATTCAGTATGAGCATTATTAGTGGTATCTGAAATAGCTCCTACACTGTATGTGAAGGGCAGAAAGAAATCCACTGAAGCAAGAAAGGAATAGAGTTCAATGCTAAAGTCTCAAACAAAATGAATCAGCACACCCAATGCTTAAAATAATCTGACGCCTGAATGTCTAGACCAAAAATTGCCAGATCTCACATTCTTCTCACATCTCACATCACAAGATGAAGGGCATTCATCTTGTCACCTCCCTGCAAAATTTCATCCTTCAAACTCACA